CGCTGTCTGTTATTATTTCTCCGTTTCTTTTTGTTCACTACTAATTCAAACGGTCGATTATCATCTTGTCTGTCCTCCTCACTACCGCCTCAGCCATTTCTTCGACGCTGTCAATAATCGAGAACAAATGCACAATATCCTGTATCACCACGTGCAAAAACGAAGAGTGTGGGGCAATCCTCCACCTCCCACCAATCAGCGGACGCCAAGAGCGCAAACCTAGCGACCGCACACAACCGTGGTCTGGATACAACTGTGTCTGAGAGAGAGTTGCTCTGTCGATCAGTTTGTGCGGGGTCGGAACTCGGCGATTATTAAAACACATGTATCTTCATTAGAATTTTATATATTTCTATGGTAAAGTAATTAAAATGAAGCTTATATTACTATCTTTCATAAGACATATAAAACATTTGTGTTTATTAACGAATTTACGTGAAATAAGCATTGTTCTGAGAGAGTTACTCTGTTGCTCGATCTGTGCGGGATCGGAGCTCGCCGATTAGAAAAATACACGTATCTTCGCTTTAAATACAAATATGCCCATGGTAAGGCATTTAAAATGAAGATTATAGTTCTATCTTTCTTGAGACGTATAAAAATCTTACGTTTATTAACGATTCTGCGTGAAATAAGCATTGTTCTGAGATGAATATTGCAGATTTCCGGCTCTACGACCTATGAAAAATGCAACTTTTATACAACTACAAATATCTTTAGTTTTACTTTAAATTTTGTCCTGAAAGAGTTTTCATATATAGATCCAGTTTCTGCCGTTCTTCTGACATAAAAAGACCTTTGGTTTAATAAGTTATTAAGATGTTTTCAACATTATTACTAGGGGGTTCACCGATTCTAACATGGGCGACCCTTTTGGAAACGCAACACATGGGTTGACCTGATTGATATATGGGTCAGATTCCATTAAGGTTCGGACCTTCCACCACTTACGAGCTATTCATGCCTGTGCCACCTTTTGGGTGGCTTCATCTTCATCTTAACACACTCACAAGGGAGACATCTCCCGTCACGCTGGGTGCATTCGCACCTCCACAGATCTCCAGTATCAGCTCTTGATACTGGTAATGGCTTAAAAGGGCCACCACTTACGGGCTATTCATGCCCGTGCCACCTTTTGGGTGGCTTAATCTTCATCAATCAATCAATCAAGAAGATATGCCACACTTGGTCCGGGAGACATCTCCCGTCATGCAGGGTGCAGTTGCGCCTCCACAGATCTCCAGTATCATCTTTTGATACTGGTAATGGCTCGAAAGGGCCACCACTTACGGGCTATTCATGCCCGTGCCACCTCTTGGGTGGCTTAATCTTCATCAATCAATCAAGGTTCGGAACAATTACACCTCAGCTTCCTCCAACAAGGTGAGAAGAGTACAGTATTACCTGTAATTGGGGAAAGGATTGTAGCTTCTGTAATTAGTTATGCTATTAAGATAATGAGATAATGGAGCGAGTATAAGATTAACTCGCTACATTGTCATGCACCTTTTTGTAAATATTATTATGCAATGTTTGGCACAATTTATCACTGTATTTACAAAATATTTAGGTTTAATTCATTGTAAAGATGATTTTTTTAATGTGTATTGTGTTATTTCATTCTGAAATCTTTTTGCAACGTTTATATGAGATACACGTAGCAGGCAACTACCTAATATTTAAAATAATAGTTAAAACATTCTATTAATATATAATGTTGAAATAAATATCACACAAAGTCTGTATATCTGTTTTCAGATGTCTTTTAAATTTTCTTTTAAAATGACTCTGTCGTCAGTTTAAAGAAAGGCTCCGAGCTCTCAAGGCTGTTGCAGGTTATCACTCAGGCTATGGTGCCAATGTCAGAATTGTCAAAATGATGTACTTTGCATACATCAGATCTTTAGTGGATTATGCTGCACCTCTGCTTGTTTTGATGCCTGAAAGAAAGCTTGGAGGGCTTGAAAAATTGCAGAACGAAGCCTTGAGAATAATCCTTGGGTGCCCTCGTACCACAAAGATACTTAATATGAGAAAGGAACTTAATATTCTGAGCGTTGTTGATCGTGTTACTGAAATTAACTGTCAAATTGGTATAAACATGCTTAGGCTAACTCATCCTAATCCTTGCACAGAAGCCCTCCAGAATTTCTTTATTGAAGATCAGCATTGTTCCAAATGGATAACAAAAACTGGAACTCAACTCAGAATGTATGGGGTTCATGATTTGTACCAAGAGAAACAACAACGGCACTTTCCTGCACCGTGGGAGGTTACACCCTTTCCAGTTTTAATCCCTCCCTTTCCACCCAAGAAGCAAATTAGAGATCAGCCCAAGCTTCGTCTTGAGGCAAAGCTCAACGCCTTAAGCCATATTGATGCTCTGTCCACAGAGCATTCTCTCTCTCAAATTATATACACTGATGGTTCCCTACACCGCACCACGGGTGCAGCTGGAAGTGCAGTTGTCCTGACAATGGGCGATGGCCTATACTTTGAGTGGGGAGTCCGTATAAACAACTGGGCCTCTACCCTTCAGACTGAACTATTTGCCTTGATCCTTGCACTGAAATGTGTACAAGTCTCAAAACTTGATACATTAATTGTAAGTGACTCCTTATCATCCTTAAATGCTCTCAACTCTTTAAGACATAACTGTAACATGCTCGTGTCCGAAGCTAGACACAAATACAACAAAATTATTAAGGATGGTAACAGTCTCCAAAGGATACCTGATCAACCAGGCTCGTACGTCAGGCTGCGAGCAGCCGCGTCCAACAGCCTGGTTGATCAGTCCGGCAACCAGGAGGCCTGGTCGACGACCGGGCCGCGGGGACGCTAAGCCCCGGAAGCACCTCAAGGTAACCTCAAGGTAAGGTAGTCCATTTCATGTGGTCTCCATCTCATGTTGGCCTCCGAATGCATGATAGAGCTGATAAGTTAGCCAAAGAATCTGCCTTTAAAGGAGCCGTTGAGTGTAACCTTGGATTGTCAATGAGCAATCTGAGAGCAGCAGTACACCGAGAACTTCAACAAGATCTTGTAGATCTGAGGCAAAGTGAAATTGACACCAGTAATTCCATCTATCATCATACTATCATGCAAGAGGAGCCACACATCTATGGATCATCCAATAAAATCAGCAGACTTCTAGATGTTACTACTGCTCGGCTTAGAGTCGGTTACAAGTATCTCTGGGAATTCTCATTATCTGCTGATGTAGACCTGACCAAATGTAAACTGTGTCAACAAAATTATTCGCACACCCTCCGTCACTATGTGATGGAGTGCGAAAAGATACGTGAATTTAGAGATAATTCTATAACCAATGTTCCAGCGATGTGTCAATATTTCATTCAAAATGATCTGCTACCAGAAATTTTAGCCAAATATCCCCAGTTTGCTAACTGTAGGTAGTAACTAAGTGATTGTAACCTATAAATCACTTACGTCCTCTAATTACCCAACACAAAGCTGCTATTAGGACAATATCCAACTCTGGCCCCAGACATCACTCGGTACCCCTACTCAAATCTCTGAATATGTTAGACATTAAGTCACTGCACATTCTCTCATGTGTATTATACATACATAAAACGCTAAACTATAATGCCAATCCTGATCTCAAAAGCTTCATAGAAGGTTGTAACAGAACCCATGAGCACCACACCAGAAATAAATAGTTTTGATATTCCTAGAGTACGACTTAATCAAACTAGAAATGCTCAACAAATCAAGGGGCCCAGAATGTGGAATGACCTTCCCAACCATGTTAAAGACTGTACCTCTCTCAACCAGTTTAAGATAAAAACTAAACACTACCTAATAAATTCCCTGTAACCTACCTCACTCCTCTATTGTCAACCCATGTCTGTTATTTTTTTTTTTAATCAACACTGTTTGTCAACCTATTGTATTTGTGCTGCTTTTTCAGTCATGTTCCCCCTTTTTTTTATCTTTATTTGTATTTGTTCTCAACACTTTTTATTCTTTATGCTCAATTAGTATTAAGTTCAAGATATTAATGTTTTTCTTGACCGAAACGCATTGCGTAATAGTGGCTTTAGGCATTGTATGTACTAGCTCTATCTATATATCAATCCATTAATGTAACATCACTTGTATGTATATATACCTTACCTGAATAAACATATTTATAATTATTTATTTATTTATTTATCCACCGCTGCCCACTGGATGGGGGGCGGTGTGCAGGACGAATAGGAGCTGCCTCGTAGGGCCAATAGGCCTTCTGCAGTTACCTTCTTATGTTCTTCAGGACAAACAACCTTCGCTTCGCTAGTTGCAGTCTCCGTGGTGTACTGGTAAGACACTCGCCTGGCGTTCCGCGAGCGCTATGTCATGGGTTCGTATCCTGGCCGGGGAGGATTTACTGGGCGCAATTCCTTAACTGTAGCCTCTGTTTAACGCAACAGTAAAATATGTACTTGGATGAAAAAACGATTCTTCGCGGCAGGGGATCGTATTCCAGGGACCATAGGATTAAGGACTTGCCCGAAACGCTACGCGTACTAGTGGCTCTACAAGAATGTAACAACTCTTGTATATATCTCAAAAAAAACAAAAAACAAAAAAAACATAAATTTTGACACTAGCTCTCCACATATGTCAGTTGCTTAATTTAGAACCTGTACTTGAGGTCGATCTCGAACCCATTGTTGATGTGATGACTTATATTGAATTTTGTAACTAGCTCATCAAGATTGTAACTTGCTTAGCTAAATGAATTGTGGGGTTCAGTCCCTGAGCCCATTATGTGTCTCTGTAACCCTTTCCACTACCGCCCACAAGATGGGTATGGGGTGCATAATAAATGAACTAAACTAACTTTTAAAATGCTATTAATGGTTTTGGGGAATCTTGAGTAACAATTAGGTTAATTATTATTAATCTAATTGTTATTATTTTAAGTAAAATAATTCCAAGTTTTTGAAATAAATAACCACCGGGCTCTGTTTGTGTACGAATGCACGGATTTGTTTTATTTATGAGGTGGACGCTGAAGAAAGCGCCTAAGATACAAGACACTCTGTACATTGACAACATCGCGCACTAATACTTTTACCACTTCGGACACCAGCTTTGGATTCCTTCGCTTCATCCGTCATGTCCGTGGCCTGAAGAGACTGTAAAGCATGTGGCAAGAGGAGATTGTAGGGCCTGTGGACTGAAGAGACTGTTGGGACCCCATCCCTTTGCTATTTCCCGGTATCATCCGATCCGACGATCGTCGTGAGATCGTCCCTAAATCAACACAACAACAACAAACCTTTGTTATGCAGGTATTTAGTATTTTAGGTTATAATAATTAATATTTCTTTTATAATAATATTGCAGTAGATTAGGGGCTAGGCATATACACTCATAGGTCAGCAAACTAGCTAGAAGGCTAGTTCATTAGACCTCCACTGGTCAACTGGGTCCCTGCATGGCCTAGCCTGCAAAGCCCAGCCTAGCATACCCTAGCCTAGCCCAGCTTAGACCATCGAAGCAGAGTTCATTCTAGCTGTGTATAGTGCTTGCACAGCCTTGCTTATCCTAGTTTACCTCTTCCTAGCCTACTGTGGCCAAGCCTATCCCAGTATACCCTTGCCTAGTCTTGCCTAGCCTAACCCTGCCTTGCTTTTAAACATGACCAGTCCTTCCTAGCCTAGCCAAGCCAATCCATGCCTAGATTTACCCTGGCCTAGCCTTTTTATTAATATATAGAGGGTACCACCTCTCTTTCTTACAACAGTCAAGAAAAAATAAAATAATGACAACAACTCATAATTTAATGTTCTCTAGGATGCCTAAAATTGGCCACACATGTCTAATCTTGCTTTTTGGCCCGCATAACTGTATACAGTATATATAAAACTAAACTTTTAATCTTTCTTTTTTTATTAAGTAAATAATGTAATATTATTAATTAATACTTACAAAAAGAGAAATAGAGAGTATAGTTACATCTATACTGGTTGAAATTTTATTTTCATATAATGTGTATGTGTGTGATTGTGCTTGGGGACAATTGAGCATAGGCTCTTTGGCCCGGTGCAAATTCCTGAGCCTAATGGAATCAATCATACCTACATTTGAAACTGTGTATGGAGCCTGCCTCAATCTCATCACTGTGTAATGCATTCCGTCTGTTAGGTACTCTGGCACTATTCTTTCTACACTCAAGTTTTCCAAAGCCTCACCAAACATTTACCAACAAAACGATTCCTTTCAACTCTCAGATTTCATGAAATTTCTTATCTGGGGTATCTCTCTCTCTCTTGCTTACAACAGAGTCAAGAAAAAATAAAATAATGACAATACCTCATAATTTAATGTTCTCTAGGATGCCTAAAATTGGCCACACGTGTCTAATCTTGCTTTTTGGCCTGCATAACTGTATACAGTATATATAAAACTAAACTTTTAATCTTTCTTTTTTTATTAAGTAAATAATGTAATATTATTAATTAATACTTACAAAAAGAGAAATAGAGAGTATAGTTACATCTATACTGGTTGAAATTTTATTTTCATCCAATGTGAGTGTGTGTGCTCACATAGTTGTACTCATTTAGTTGTTTTGGGGGATCGATCTTTGGTTCTTTGATTATACCTCTTGATTGTCAATGAACTGGTGTAGAGATTCCTGAGCCTATTTGGCTCTTATCATATCTACGTTTGAAACTGTGTATGGAGTCTGCCTCCACCTCATCACTGTGTAATGCATTCCGTCTGTTAGGTACTCTGGCACTATTCTTTCTACACTCAAGTTTTCCAAAGCCTCACCAAACATTTACCAACAAAACGATTCCTTTCAACTCTCAGATTTCATGAAATTTCTTATCTGGGGTATCTCTCTCTCTCTTGCTTACTCAAGAGTCAAGAAAAAATATAATAATGACAACAACTCATAACTTAATATTCTCTAGGATGCCTAAAATTGGCCACACGTGTCTAATCTTGCTTTTTGGCCCGCGTAACTGTATACACTATATATAAAACTAAATTCTTATTCGTTCTTTCTTTTTTCTTAAGTAAATAATATAATATTATTATTTAATACTTACAAAAAGAAAAAGAAATAGAGAGTATAGTTAGATATATACTGGTTGAAATTTTATTTCCATATAATGTAATTACCTAAGCGTAGTTACAGGACGAGAGCTACGCTCGTGGTGTCCCGTCTTCCCAGCACTCTTTGTCATATACCGCTTTGAAACTACTGACGGTCTTGGCCTCCAACACCTTCTCACCTAATTTGTTCCAATCGTCTACCACTCTGTTTGCGAAAGTGAATTTTCTTATATTTCTTCGGCATCTGTGTTTGGCTAGCTTATATCTATGACCTCTTGTTCTTAAAGTTCCAGGTCTCAGGAAATCTTCCCTATCGATTTTATCAATTCCTGTTACTATTTTGTATGTAGTGATCATATCATCTCTTTTTCTTCTGTCTTCCAGTTTTGGCATATTTAATGTGGGATATCTGGGGCTTGACTCACATATTCAATTATTTACTTATTGGATTTAATAAATCGAAGGACCACCCACTTTTGAGAAAAGAGGGAAAACTAATAGAAGTGATCATTAGAATAACACTAGAGAACCAGTGTCTATGGATAATCATTAAAAGAATAATCACTTGAAATAATGAGTAGACTGTATTATTAATTAATTAAAGTCAGAGCCTCAAAGACCTACATTGGGGGGTATTTCTAGAAATTCATATATATCTAGGAACCAGTGTGGTTCGCCACCAGTTCATTGTTGAGTAAATGACATAATAAATCTAAACTACTATAGATTCGAATTATGAGAACTCAAATTGTGAATATTAAGGATCATGAATTACTGAGCAACAGTCAGAGCAAAACACATTAATTACCAATCATCATTTCTGGTAATAATCTATTCAAGGCAAAGATTCTACAGAAATTATATAAGAATCAATAATCATATTAAATAAATTTGTACGAAAAAATGTCTTAGCTTTAAGACGATTTCTGTAACATCATTTCGTCATTCGTCCTCGTGGTCACAGGATCTCCACAAAGAAAGAACTCGAGGTGAATATCACAAATGATGAGAAACAACTTGATGACTTCTCGTATACACGCTGAAATCAGAGAAATTTAAGTAGCATTTGAATAGGCTACGTTTTATTTTCAATATTCATGAAAACGGAGGAAATTGTCGAAATTTTACTAACGTTGTATATTGGGTATTCTCGCTATATGACGACAGACTACTCACAAATATATAATCTAGGATGATGCATCAAACGAGAAACATATACTTAACATGAGCGTATTAAATACTGAGGTCTGCCGAAACCGCGTCAGCCAGTCCCTGACGTCCACTGCTGTGTACGAGTAATTACGGGTCTTGGCTTCAATTGTTGACGCGTTATTAACTGGCTGGGCACTATAGAACACGTGGATAAGTAATTATTAACTGTTGACCGAGTATCAACGTAATTCTTGCCGATAAATTCCCCAGTCACTACCACGTGTCTCGCCACTCTTCACGCCACGGATGCCTTCTCTCCCACAATGGCGTCGCCGCCTCCCTCAACCCATCTCTCGCATTCACCATAGAAATTATTAATCACGAATAATTCTTTTCCGCGCAATTATGGATGTAATATGTTAATGAGAACTGGGTTGCAATTATAGGGATTTAAATATTATCATATTCTCGTTTTATGGTGTCAAACGAGAAATGGAGAAGATTTTATTTTCTCCATGGCATTCGCACGTAACAGAAAAGACTGCTACTACATAACAATTTTAGTTAATAATTCTCGGTTTGAGATTATTGGGAGTTATATTATCTGTAAGTAATTATTACACGGAGTACTGATAATTTTAGAGAACCACATTTAATTGTCTAACCCATTGGTAATAAATGTGTCTAACTGGACATTATCTGACGCAATGTTGCTACTCGATTTCATGAGAATTATAGCATTAATACGCAGATGAAATGGTTAATTTATGTTGACACTACCGTTAGTGAAATTAGTACCTACTGTAGTTAGTATATAATGATAGTGATTTATTATAATACAATAGTAGTTTATTAGTGTTGGAAATTTCCAACATTTAATGCCTCTAACCTCTCTTTGTAGCTCTTGCCCTTCAGTTCTGGGATCCACTTAGTAGCATGTCTTTGCACCTTTTCCAGTTTGTTGATGTGCTTCTTAAGATATGGGCACCACACAACTGCTGCATATTCTAGCTTTGGCCTAACAAAAGTCGTGAACAATTTCTTTAGTATATCGCCATCCATGTATTTAACCTTCAAACCGCTAGGGGCCCAAATGGAATTCACACCCACAGGCGCAACAAAAAAAAAAATTCCAAAAAATTCTTTCGTCTTATAGAAGTGTTCATTTTTGTTCCCTGATCACGGAAAAAATAACAAAAAAATCGTAGGTGGCATATTTTAGCCGCAATAGGGTAGGGAAGTGTGGCAAAAAAGGGGCGTTGGCAGAGCCTTCGCCAGACGAGGTCTACTCTGCCCGAGCTGTCAGACGGCAGTTGCCACAAATATATTATTACCTAATTATTTCAATGTCTCTGATTGATTTTTTCTTAGTTTTTTTGCAGTAATATTATTCCATACAGTGAATTGTGGTATATATATATTATAAAATGTGTGAACCATCGCTGTACTCAAAATTATGGTGTGCATATTAGTGATTCAATTATTATGTTCATAAAACAATAAACAAATAGTTTTGCTGTTGTTACACTATTTACACAGGTTATATACAAGTATCTGCATGTTTTGTACACCATAACGAACTACTAAGTTGGTCTTGTGAGTCAAAAAGCAACGAGGAGTGACCACCAAACACCAGCGAGCCACTCACTGCCACTCCCTCCCTCAACACCACTTCACTCACCCTCATTTACCTCCCATAATACTCTTTCTGTATTTATTCACTATACACAGATGTTATATATACGTATTTACATGTTTTGTTCACCATAACTGTACATCTAAGCTTGTATGGTGAGTAAAGGCCATAAGACGTAGCTACTCACACAGTCAGCTGATCGGCGGCCGCCCTCAAAGCCAGACGCACTAATATTTGTCCTCCAACAATATTGTTTGTGGTGTTATTACGCTATATACACACACATTATATATAAGTACAGTGGTACCTCGGAATGCGATTGTCCCTGTATGCGAGGTTTTCGGAAGGCGAGGTGTATTTACTCCAAAAATTTGTCTCGGAAGGCGATGGTTACTTCGGGAGGCGAGTTTGGACGCGAGTTTGTTGATACGTGTA